TGGAGGGCATGAGATTTCGTGGGCTACAACCCACTTCTTCGGATGCATATAGAGTGAAACATATATATATATCTCCTCAATATATGTTCCATTCTATATGCATCCGAAGAAGTGGGCTGTAGCCCACGAAAGCTTATGCTCTAATAAATTTGTTAGTCTCTAAGGTGCCACAAGTACTCCTGTTCTTATTTCTAAAATTACTTTCCAGATCCGAAAAGCTCTGTAAGAAGCCCTGTATAAAGAAGGGTATCCATATAAAGAGTGATATGAACATTGCAAACAGATATGGGAACAAATATAAAAGCACCGTGGGTCACAGCTTAATCATGACAAGCATCCCCTTGAAGACATCAGGAAATGTCAGTCCACAGAAGTTGGTGACATTGGGTGTGTTATTTCAGAGATAGGCCTCTTCTGCCTCTCTCTTGCTTCATGACTCTGCAGTTTCCCTGGTGGATAACTTTATTCGCTTTATCGATCTGTGCAAATAAGGGAATAAACTGCCTTCCTTTGTGTTTCTTTCCGTGTGCGTTTTGCTGGGGGAAGTCCCACTGCAGCTCTGACAGTTGAGTGAATTTTCAAAGTTATTGGACTGAATGGGTCCCCATGCAGATGCTGCCTCACCCCATATGTGTCATTTTAGACTGATGAAGTCAGCGGAGTGTAAGCATTGGGGAACAAATGGTTTATATCTGAAAGAAATCATGCTGCTGAAATTGACAGGGGACACGCTATCAATTCTGCTAAGAGAAGTTACCTCATCTAGAGAACTACGTGTGGAAGTAGAAAATATCGACAATTAAGAAAATCATATTGATCTGTTCAGGGGGCATAGTGACTGCTAAGACATCGCTGATAAATGCTGGAAATGTCAGAAATGTCTGTGTTCAAAAAATCCTTCCCATGGAGAGGAGGGGTGGCCAAGTGGTTAAGGGACTGACTTGGGAGACTTAGGTTCAAATCCCGGCTTCACTACCGGCTTCCTGTGTGATCTTTGGCCTGTCATTTAGTCTCTCCGTGCCTCAATTCTCCCCCCCCCTCCCCCCCCGCAAAACAGGGTTAGTAGCACTGCCCTGCATCACCAGGGTGTGGTGAGCGTAAATACATTAAAGTCTGCAAGGTGCTCAAATACTGCCATAATGGGAGCCATACAAGTACTGTAGATTGATAAATCAATTAATTGTGATTTCTCTTGTTATCGTCCTCAACACTTCAAGAAATAAAGAAAAAAAAATGACTCACTTCGGTCATTTTGGATGTAGATCAAAGAAACCATCTTTGCCTTGAGGGTGTCACTTTATTGATGTGAGAGGAGGTGGTTCCTGGAAAAAGCAGCTGTCTTGGCCAAGCAAATTATGTCAGTGAAATAAAGATGTGTTGATGGAGAAGATGCTAAAATTTTTGAGGAGGGTGGGACATTAAGTGGGGGGCGATATTCGGAAAAAGGCAGCATGCCTTCTGCATGCATATAAGTGAATGTGATCCAATCACTTCTCCTGGAATAAAATAATAATACATAGCACATATACAGCATTTTTCTTCCAGGGATCAGTGAGTGCATGAGTAGGGGCACTGTGGCCAAGTGGATAGAGCACTGGACTGGAACGCAGGAGATCTGGGTTCTATACCTGGTTTTCAGCCTGGCTGGGTGACTTTGGGCATGTCATGTCACCTCTCCGTGTCTCGCTTACCCTGTCTGTAAAAATGGGGATAATGATACAAAACTCCTTTGTAAAATGCTTTGAGATCTGCTGATGAAAAGAGCCATTTAAGAGTGAGGGGCTGTTATTGTTCGAAATAAAGTGGAACATAATTTTACAGAAAGGGAAACTGAGTCATGGGTAGTTAAAATGATTTGCCCAAGTTCACATGCAGGTCAGAATTTTCAAAAGTGACTAATGATTTTGGGTGCCTCCATTTTAAGTAGATTCTCAGCCCTTTCTGAAGATCAGGAGCCTTTAAGAAATCTCAAATTGGGTACAGTCAAGGGCATAGCTGGTGATAAACTCAGGAGTCCTGCCTGTGTTCAGTGCACTCTGTTAGAACTCCATTGCCTCTGAATCTTACAACTCTTTCCCGCCAGCTCCCATGATTGACCCTGTGTTCTCACACTAGCTGTATGCATGGGACATTACAATGTGTAGGTCATGGTAATTGTATTGTGTGGCTAAGTATGATTTCCCTTTTTATATTTTAGATTTATTCAGGAGATTGAGCATGCCATGGGCCTTGGCCCAACCAAACAATGTCCGCTCCGGGAGTTCCTCACCATGTACATCAAGAACATCTTCCTTAATCAAGTCCTAGCAGAGATCAACAAAGAGATAGAAGGTGTCACCAAGGCATCCGACCCCCTGAAGATATTGGCCAATGCGGACACCATGAAGATGCTAGGAGTTCAACGGCCTCTTCTGCAGGTACCCAAGCTGAGCGACTCGCCAGCATTTTTCTGTTGTCACATGCCTGTGGCTGTATTGGCAGCAGAAGCAGTGTGCAATTTTTTTTTAGAGAGAAGTTGTACATGCGTTCCGATATGGGTCCCCTTAATTTGGTGGCTTTTACCTATGTACTGGTTTTTACTCCCTAACTTTTGCATTGGTGTGTCGAGGGAGGAGGCTGCCAAACACGAAACAATCTCTCCCTCGTCCTTAACTCTCTCTTTCTCAGGGACTAGTACTTGACGCACCTGGCTCTGATTTGAATGACTTCCTTACCTCCCCTTCATTCTGAAACCAGCTTTCACTCCTGTGTTGCATCCCTTGCATTTTTCCTACTGTCCCTAACACCCACCCAGTAAGTTACACCTATGTTTTGCCTGTGCAGAAGGGTAAATCACACCGCCAACCCTGCCGTTAATGGCATCTCTGCATCTCACCCATTATAGTGCACTAATCTGGTGGTAGGGCTTATTCGTCTTCCTGGGCCTTAGCCTGTCCCTTTCACAAGGAGTCCAGATGATGTAATCATCCAATAAACAACAGTAAATCCATCATGAAGTATTGTTACCAGCTTTCTTAAAACGTTTGCTATAAGGGTTTTTTTGTTTTGTTTTTTTAAATACAGTATTATCTTGTGTCTGACCTTTGGAAACTGGGGATGCTTGCAAATCTTAGAACATTTCAAGCTGACTAAACAGTATGTTGTTATTAAGAAATTTGGCTTAAAGGTTACAGTATTTAAATGGGACATGCTTCATTGTAACAGTTCTTTATCAGTCTCATGAGGACTAGTAGGGATTGTAATAAACCTATTTCTTCTCCGTACTTGGGTGATAACGAAATCTATGGAGGCCCATTGAGAGGTCTGGCGTGGTGATTAGTGCACAGGACTGGGAGGTCAGAACTGAGTTCTAACCCTGGCTCTGATATTGACTCCTCTCATGGCCTTTTTCAAGTCATTTAACCTCTCCGCCTCACTTATCCCATCTATAAAATGGACATATTATTACCTGTCCACATGACCATAGGTGCTGAAACTACGGGTGCGGCAGATGCTGCCGCACTCCCTGGCTTGAAGTGGTTTCCATTATATACAAGGTATATAGTTTGGTTGGATGGCTCTCAGCATCTTCACTATACAAATTGTTCTAGCACCCCTGCACATGACAGCGGTATTTTGAGGATTGATTAACAATTGAAATGTTCTATGAAGATCAAAAGTGCTGTCCAAGTGCCTACATAATATGTATCACTGTCAGAGGGGGGAGGGATAGCTCAGTGGTTTGAGCATTGGTCTGCTAAACTCAGGGTTGTGAGTTCAATCCTTGAGGGGACTATTTAGGGATATGGGGCAAAAATCTGTTGGATGATTTAGTTGGGGATTGGTCCTGCTTTGAGCAGGGGGTTGGACTAGATGATCTTCTGAGGTCCCGTCCAACCCTGAGATTCTATGTATTTGCAATTTATATTTTGGTTTAGAAAAGATTAATTGTGAAAACAGTCTGTAGCAGTCTGTATTTCATGTTTTGTTGCTCATACTAATGAACTTCAAGACAAATACAACCAGTCAATTGATCCAAGAACAATGGATTTGAGTTGCTGTATCTCCAGCAAGTTTAGAATATATTTAAACTATCACAAACAAATGAAAGCTAGAGTCAGAGGAAAGATTTTTCGAAAGTGCCTAGAGGGATTTAGGAATGCAAGTCCCTTAGATCAGTGTTTCTCAACCACCGGTCTGTGAACCGGCGCTAGTCCACGGCAGCCTCCTTGCCAGTCCCCGAGATTTCCCTGACACAGTTTAGAAAGGCAGCAGACAGCCGGGTCCCTGAGATCTCCCTGACACAGTTTAGGAAGGCAACAAGCCGGTCCCTGGTTCAGAAAGGTTCAGAAATATTGCCTTAGCTGCTTTGGAGACTCTTCTCCTCACAGTAAAATATTGTGGGGCAGCACAACACCTTCAAACTACGAGGTTTTTAACATGGATTTCTCCTCCCTGCAATGTGAATCTTTTACAGTCACCTGCCAGCCTCCATTTGCAAGACCAGGGGATTTAATGCATTATCAATAACATGTCCCTCATATCTGATGTCACAAAATGGCATTGTTCCAGCCGAAGAGCTGCCCGGATTGTTAAATGAGCATATGGAAAATGACAGGGAGCGGGGGCACCTGTGGAGTAGCTTTTTACCTCTGGACTTCTGAGTTCAGATCCTTACATGAGCTGAAGATAACTTTGGTGAATCTCATCCTAGCTTTGGAATAGCAGAAATGTTACAGATCAGAACTGAGATGTAATAGCAGGACTGCAGTAGCAAGCAAGCTGCAAGGCAGGAGCGTGAAACATAAACAGAGTTGTGTGAAGAACCTTCCATTAGACTAGTAGGAGTTTTTATAGATGAGAACTAGAAAGCAGATGCAGAGCGATCTGGCTCACTTGGGAAGCTGGGCACAGGTAAACAGTATGGGTTTTAATACGGCTTAACACCATTAATTTGGGCTTGAATAGGGACTGGGAGTGGCTGGCTCACTACAAAAGCAATTTTCCCTCTCTTGGTATTGACACCTCCTCATCAATTATTGGGAATGGACCACATCCACCCTGACTAAATTGGCCTTGTCAATACTGGTTCTCCAGTTGTAAGGTAACGCCCTCCTCTTCATATGCCAGTATATTTATGCCTGTATCTGTCATTTTCACTCCATGCATCTGAAGAAAGCTTATGCCCAAATAAATCTGTTAATCTTTAAGGTGCCACCGGACTCCTTGTTGTTTTTGTGGATACAGACTAACACAGCTACCCCCTGATACTTAATGTATACATAGAAGAACAAAGAACATCAACCAGACTTACAGGATATGAGACTCTATCCAGGGAAGCAGCAACGTGGAAAAAGATTTGGGAGTCATGGTGGATAATCATTTAAACGTGAGCTCCTACCGCAATGCTGTGGCCAAAAGGGCTAATGTGATCCTTGGATGTATAAACAGGGAATCTCGAGTAGGAGATTTACCTCTGTATTTGGCACGGGTGCAACAACTGCTGGAACACTGTATCCAGTGCTGGTGTGCACAATTCAAGAAGGATGTTAATAAATTGGAGAGGGCCATGAGAATGATTAAAGGATTAGAAAACCTGCCTGATAGTGATACATTCAAGGAGCTGAATCTATTCAGTTTAACACAGAGAAGGCTAAGAGGTGACTTTATTATAGTCTGTAAATATCTACTTGGGGATCATATGTTTAGTAACAGGCTCTTCAATCTAGGAGAGAGAGGTATCATATGATTCAGTGGCTGAAAGTTGGTGTTAGACAAATTCAGACTGGAAATAAGTAAATTTTTAACATTAAGAGTAATGAACCATTGGAACAATTTACCAAGTGTTGTGGTGAATTCTCCAACACAGACCATTTTAAAATCAAGATTGGATTTTGTTCCCAAAGATCTACTCTAGGAATGATTCTGGGGAAGTTCTATAGCTTGTATTATGCAGGTCAGACTAGATGATCCCTTCTGGCCTTGGAAACTTGGAATCCATGAAAAGCATTGGCAGACCAGGATTGGCCGGAGTGTGGTATAGTTCGAGTGAGGTGTGTCTGCACTGGTGGAAGTTCTGCATGATACTTACTCATCCCATGCCTGTCTCCAGTACTAATAGTTCCTCACTTTCACAAGTTCCAAATGAAAGAGGAAATAGACATGGTCGGTTGTGGGCAGTAAAATTTGAGACTTGACTTTCAGTAGATAGTGGAAAATCACATTTCAAGCCTGGTCTTCTGGCTTCCAGGGCAGAAAAACTGTAATAAAACTGAAATAAAAAGATGCCATATAAGGCAGAGTGATTTTAATTCAAGACTAGATGGCTTGAAACAGCATAACCAGTCAAGTCCATTAGAGTTGTATAGGAAAAAACGCAGATGATTGTTGTGGGCATTCCTTGGGTATCTTGCTTTTTTCTCTTTTTCTTTTACATCAGTAACTCGCTTGTGAGAATTAGAATGGATAAGAAATCCAAATCAGTCTGCCCAAGCAGATGAACTTATCAGGAGCTGATAATTCCATTTGGTCATATCAGAGTGTAGGCTTTGGATCAGGGCCATTGAAGCTATTAACCTTCCAAATTTGTTTTGGATTCTTAGCAAGATGATATATATATGATATATGCCTGCCTCCTCTGTAGCCATGTGAATTTGCTTAAGGTCCATTTGAGGTTGAAGAGAAGGACTGGATTGAGATTTCTCATTCAGTCCCTATAATTTGTCAATCCTTAGTACCTTTAGTGAGGCTTGCCACAAAGGGTATGTCTACACAGTAACTAGACACAGGACCCTGCGAGGTGGGAGGGGTCCAGAGCTTGGACTCTGGCTTGGGCCCAGAAGTCTGCACAGGAATGAAACAGCCCCACAGCCCAAGCCCTGTGAGCCCTAATTGCCCAACGCAGGCCATACGAGGGTGTTTAGCTGATGTGAAGATGTACGCAAAGTGGCTAGTCGTGGTGGTAGTTTTATGATGTAGACACACATTCACTAGGAACTGGGTTAAGAACCATTAAGAACCATCCACTCCCTTTGCATAGTCCACCTTGACATGTTTGAAGCAAAGACCTCCATCGTAGGGGAAAGGTTTTCTGCCATCCTAACCCATCATGTCCCTCTCAAATTAGTGATGTAATTCTACAATGATGAAGCTAAAAACATTGTAGTAGCCCATTAAAAAAAATCTGCGCTTAACTAGGAATAGGACCTTATAAGTACTTTTAAAGCCATTATTCTGTAGTCAAATGGAAGACTTTTTTAATCACTCCCCTTTTAATACTCCCTGAACAGTCATGAACAAAAAACTAAATTGTCAAATATTCTGCATTAAAGTTTATGCTGCAGTTGTTTAAACCAGTATTCAATCAGGCTGAAAACAGCTTGACAACTTCTTATATCCTGTTCCCATGCTGTCAACCTCAAAAATGATAGATCTTTTC